GTGAGTGATTTTATTCAGGATTTATCAACATAAAAATGAGTGACAGACATTTTGTGTGTAGTTCCTCTTACTGCCATATGGTGGAGACAAAAGATCCACTAAAGTTTAATTAATGAAAAGTTTCCTGCAAACTGAAACAAAATGTTTGGGTTTTACCAAGTTTCTATAAAAAAATGTTCAAGACAAATGTGCTGTTGCTCTGTCTGACAGTCTGTGAAGGTGTGTGTGTGTGTGTGTGTGTGTGTGTGTGTGTGTGTGTGTGTGTGTGTGTGTGTGTGTGTGTGTAACACATCATTATAGTGACCGGTAACAGGGTAACTAGAGAAGGAAGACTAATTTACTGCAGCAATAAAAGTTCACCCAAGAGAAAAAAGTGACGTGTTCAATCTTTAAATTCAGAGCCGTAGATAGTGAAAGTAACACACCCCCCTAAACACACACACACACACACACACACACACACAGACACAGCTGATGTAAACAAAGATAACAGTGTGTCAACACTACATCATGAATAATCTGGTTTGTTTCCATCGTTGAGCTGCTGTTTGAATATGTGAGCCGAGTTAAACGTTAGCATTTGTGTTTCTGTGGTGAAGATTTCACCACGGCTGTAGAGATGAATCCCTCCTGCTGAGGTTGTCCTTTGAAGCCACACTCTGAGTCGTGTTTCTGCTGAAGCGACTGACGCAGTTTTGTTTCCAACCATGAGCAAAGAAAGGCGAGAACAGGCACTGTTGTGGTTTATTGTATTAACGACACTTTACAAAGATAAGCAGATAAGCACAAAGGGTTACAAGAAAGAAAACTAAAGCTGTTCTTTTTAGAAAGATTCAGAATGAGCAGCATTAGCACAGGTTTATAATAACAGATTCATTTAAACTGTTACAAAATCTGTAAAACTCAAATATCACAAGGCCACGACTATCAGATCCTACTGCTGCTGGAACCTGTTCACCTGAAGATGTCGGCTTGAAATAAACAGACCTTTGCATCATTTTTCATTTCTGCAGTTTCATCTGCATTTGGTGTTCCTGAAATGCTGTTGAATGTCACTTCTACTCTGCTGAATAAAGATACCTTATTCTGATATTTTAATTTATTCAGTTCTATTCTGCTCTTTTCTTTTCTGTTCTATTCTGTTCTGTTCTGTTTAATTTAGTTCTGTTTTATTTTTTCTGTTCTATTATGTTCTGCTCTGTATTATTTTCTTCTGTTCTGCTTTGTTTTATTTTATTTTATTCTGTTCTATTTTGTTCTGTTCTGTTTTATTTAGTTCTATTTTGGTCTGTTCAGTTTTATTTGGTTCTATTCTGTTCTGTTCTGCTTTATTTTGTTTAGTTTTATTTTCTTCTGTTCTATTTTTGTTCCGTTCTGTTTTGTTTTATTTTGTTCCATTCTGTTCTGTTCTGTTTTATTTTGTTTTATTTTATTCTGTTCTTTTTGTTCTGCTCAGTTTTATTTAGTTCTTTTTTGTTCTGTTCAGTTTTATGTACAGTGGGGCAAAAAAGTATTTAGTCAGCCACCGATTGTGCAAGTTCTCCCACTTAAAATGATGACAGAGTTCAGTAATTTACATCATAGGTACACTTCAACTGTGAGAGACAGAATGTGAAAAAAAATCCATGAATTCACATGGCAGGATTTTTAAAGAATTTATTTGTAAATCAGGGTGGAAAATAAGTATTTGGTCACTTCAAACAAGGAAAATCTCTGGCTCTCACAGACCTGTAACGTCTTCTTTAAGAAGCTTTTCTGTCCTCCACTCGTTACCTGTATTAATGGCACCTGTTTGAACTCATTATCTGTATAAAATACACCTGTCCACAGCCTCAAACAGTCAGACTCCAAACTCCACTATGGCCAAGACCAAAGAGCTTTCGATGGACACCAGGAAAAGAATTGTAGACCTGCACCAGACTGGGAAGAGTGAATCTGCAATAGGCAAGCGGCTTGGTGTGAAAAAAACTCAACTGTGGGAGCAATTATCAGAAAATGGAAGACATACAAGACCACTGATAATCTCCCTCCATCTGGGGCTCCACGCAACATCTCATCCCGTGGGGTTAAAATGATCATGAGAACGGTGAGCAAGAATCCCAGAACCACATGGGGGGACCTGGTGAATGACCTGCAGAGAGCTGGGACCACAGTAACAAAGGTCACCATCAGTAACACACTACAACGGCGGGGAATCAAATCCTGCAGTGCCAGACGTGTTCCGCTGCAGAAGCCAGTGCATGTCCAGGCCCGTCTGAAGTTTGCCAGAGAGCACATGGATGATACAGCAGAGGATTGGGAGAATGTCATGTGGTCAGATGAAACCAAAGTAGAACCTTTTGGTATAAACTCAACTCATCGTGTTTGGAGGAAGAAGAACACTGAGTTGCATCCCAAGAACACCATACCTACTGTGAAGCATGGGGGAGGGAACATCATGCTTTGGGGCTGTTTTTCTGCTAAGGGGACAGGACGACTGATCCGTGTTGAGGACAGAATGAATGGGGCCATGTATCGTGAGATTCTGAGCCAAAACCTCCTTCCATCAGTGAGAGCTTTGAAGATGAAACGTGGCTGGGTCTTCCAACACGACAATGATCCCAAACACACCGCCCGGGCAACAAAGGAGTGGCTCCGTAAGAAGCATTTGAAAGTCCTGGAGTGGCCTAGCCAGTCTCCAGACCTCAACCCCATAGAAAATTTGTGGAGGGAGTTGAAAGTCCGTGTTGCTCGGCGACAGCCCCAAAACATCACTGGTCTCGAGAAGATCTGCATGGAGGAATGGGCCAAAATACCAGCTACTGTGTGTGCAAACCTGGTAAAGACCTGTAGTAATCGTTTGACCTCTGTTATTGCCAACAAAGGTTATGTTACAAAGTATTGACTTGAATTTTTATTACTGACCAAATACTTATTTTCCACCCTGATTTACAAATAAATTCTTTAAAAATCCTGCCATGTGTATTCATGGATTTTTTTTCACATTCTGTCTCTCACAGTTGAAGTGTACCTATGATGTAAATTACTGACCTCTGTCATCATTTTAAGTGGGAGAACTTGCACAATCGGTGGCTGACTAAATACTTTTTTGCCCCACTGTAGTTCTATTCTGTTATGTTCTGTTTAATTTTGTTTTGTTTTACTTGGTTCTGTTCTATTTCGTTCTGTTATGTTTAATTTTGTTCCATTCTGTTCTGTTCTTTTTTATTTTCTTCTGTTCTATTTTATGTTCTTTACTCTTTCAGCTTGTTTATATTATGTTTCCACCTTTTGTACAGGTAATAGTCACAAATCAGTTTCAATATATTAAAATGAAAAACAATGTATTGATTCCTGCATGAATGAGGAGCTGGATCTAAAGTGAAAACAAAGGAATCTTGAGTCTTCTGGTTGCTGGGAGCAAGGGTGGAGGTGTCTAACCCGTCCTGTGCACCACGGTGGAGTAGGTCTCCAGCGACACCGTGTTCGGGTTCAGGGACTGCAAAAGAGCCAAAACAAGCTATAATATCTCATCACATCTAAAATGTAAGAGAAACAATCAATACTCAGTTCAATCTGACATTTTTCCTTCATTCAAAAAGAGAATAAAACCCCCAAACCTGATCATTAGATGACCTAGTAGTAATTCTAACTGTGGTTTATTAGAGAGAACCTGAAATATTAATCAGCTGATTGTAAATCACATTTAATGTTTCTGCTGCTTGGGCTTGACAGTCTCTGAGATGAAGTTTGTATTTGTTTTAATTCAAAGTTGTTCTTTGGTTTTGTCTTTTCTTTCATCCCTATTTTATGTGGAGTGTTTTATTTATTTATTTATTGTTCTGTTTTTACTCATTTTACTGTGAAACTGGTCTAAACCGGTCTAGACTGGATGTATTGCATGGTAAAGAAGAACTATAAATACACAAAATAAGATTCTCAGCAATGTGTGACCCTGATGATGAGAACTTTATATAATTTAACCAGAAAGAATCAAATATAAATATCAAGTAAATATCAAAGCAGCACGTACACCATTATTTGGCATTTTCCTCAATAGCTCAAGTTAACATACTGATGGCAATCATAATCACAGGTTAATATAAAATCAGAGCCCTAGTGTGGTGTAACATGGCCCCATGAGGAGTCCTGACCCTCCATTTGGGAAGCAGCGACACAGATCCCAGACCAGCGCCGGACCACCTTAGCTTTAGGACCATCACTAATGTTGAATAACGATGACTGCAGCAGCATTTTGTAACTAAGTTTTTAATTATAATGAATAATAATTTAAGGTTTGGGCATTTTTCTAAGGATTTTCAAAATAAGAGCACTTATGATGCTGAGTCAGTTTAAAATAGTATATGAGCATCTTATAAATGAATGCATGAAACAAACTAACAAACACATCTGAAGAGAAATAGATTTTTTTAGTTTTCATTTGAAGTAAAATTTTAATTTCTTCACTACATTAATTGTGTTTTGTTTTCAGTCTCAGGCAGACTCTTCAGTCTTTGTTCAAACTGTGCAAACATCACTAATGGTCTTCCTACTTATAAGTTACAAAAAACAACAATAAGAATTATAACTCAAAAGAACCATAAAGAACCAACTAACACTTGGTTTGTTCATTTGAAGACCCTTAAACTTTATGAGTTACTCGAATATAAAATGGCACAAATAAGCACATAATAATTTACTTTGTAGTAGTATTCAGAAACTGTTTGAGGTCAGAGACAGTCTGTATGACATAAGTGAAACCGATTATTTTAAAAAGATAAGGACGAATATAAAACAGAGATGTGTTTCTGTTAGGAGTTCATTTGTGAAACAGTTATGAAAATTACTTTAAAAGGTGTAGCTCACTGTTTAAAAATACGTAGAAAACTAGATTATTAGAAGAATATATAAAACATGAACGAAAGGTACAATAGTATTGAAACATTGGTCTTATCTATATTTCTTATATATTATATGAAATTAGCCTAATGTATATGTTTATCTACGGTGGAAAGCTAACTTCATCTTGTTTTGTTGAGACATGTCTTGTTCTTCCCGTTGGTGTTAGGCCTCATGTGCATATGAACTATATGGAAAACAGGTTGGCACAATAAGCATGTGCTTCAGCCAACACTTCTTCATTGGCCTTGTTTGTGTGTTCCTCTGTCTGCGACGGTCAATTGCATTGTGATATTTTAATGCTAATCAATAATTAAAAAAACTGGAGAAAGCAAAAAAAAAAACCATTTCATTAATTTAAAAGTTTTAAGCCTTCAAATGTAAACAGAAAATTTGGCCTTTTTCAGACAAGCACACTTTTCCCTCTGTTAGAGGGACACATGGACATTCACCGAGGGTTCCTCACACTCATGAACATCATTTATCTGGATGTAATTATTTAATTAGAACAGAATAATAATAATAATTAGTATTAATTTACTGTATAAATAACATCAGCTGTTTTAAACTAAGCGCCAACCTCATATGCAGAAGCTGGAGCAGCTGGCCTGCGTCTTCTGGACCTGACCGGCGCTAGAATGGGTGGAGGGACTAAATGTGATTTATTATTAGCATTAATAATTAAAGGAGGGTAAGTGGCCACATCAGCAGCTGTTTTCTTACATCTGGGAGGGGGAGGGGGTCCAGCTGGCCTCCTCTTCTTGGTGCATTTATAGATGGTCATCATCAGGACTGCCGTCCCGATCACATCCACCATGATCACAAGCATGAATAGAAACCCATCCACCTCAAAGCAGTTAGGACATGCTGGAGAGGAAAGGGGTCACTGGTCACGCTACTACCAGCTGAACACAGACAGCATATGAAGTTGAGCGTTTACGAACCCTTTCCTTTCACGAAGAAGTGGCATTTTCGGACAAGGCCGTGCTCCTCGTACTCACAGCTGTACTGAGAGAGGCGCTTGTACTCAAACTCCAGGGTCAGGTTGGAGTTGGTAGAGGAGTTGACTTTATTCTCACCTTCAAACCACGTTGCAATACCTGGACAGGTGAGGGTGACTTTATCCCTCCAGAACGCTACATCTCCTTTGAAAAGATTAATGTTAGCTGAAGCAGACCTAATCACTCAGAATTCTGCATTCATCAATTTACTCAGGACGATTGATACAGCAAACTGGAAACAAACTCTTGATCATCAGAAAGAGAACATTTGACTCATTTCCATTTAAAAGAAAATGCTGAAACAATCTGGATTAGGAATGTACCTGAGTGAGCCTCTACCGTGGCCTCCAGCAGCAGCAGGACGACGAACACGGCCCGAACACCCATTCCCTTCCCTCCTGCTTGTTTTAAATGTCTGAGGTTTGGACAAAGACTAATAAATAAAGAGATGTAGTGACAAGAAGCTGACTGTTCACAGCCAATTCCTGAGCGAACCCAGCGGTTCCTCTGTGTGTGTGTGTGTGTGTGTGTGTGTGTGTGTGTGTGTGTGTGTGTGTGTGTGTAGGTGTGTGTGTGTGTGTGTGTGTGTGTAGTTACACACCCTATTAGCCTCACAGGAAGTGCTTCTTGTTTGAAGTTTAATTCACAGTTGAACCTCAAAATGAAGTCAAACTGCAGCCTGATGCAGAAACAGAACACATCCTATAATGCTTCTAAAGTCTGAAGGTAAATAAAAGCACTCCCCACGTTGAGTGGACACTGTCGTAACGTGTTCATGCTAATCAGGATTTCTGACTGACAATCAAGTCAGAGTTTACAGACAGCACACTTTGAAAAATCTGGCTGATTAAAGAAATATGTTGTGATGAATTTAGCAGTGAAATGGTTCACAGCCCAACCATCCTGGTGTAGATAGTGGAGATCACTGGTTCCCAACCTTTTCTGACCCCCTGAGCCATGTTCTCAAACCATGAGTACCCTTTAGTCAAAAGTGTTGATTTCCAAACGTACCACTGATTGTTAAACAAAAATAAATTCAGTAAATCTCAGTCACACTTCCTGTCTGGCTCAGGTAAATACTTAACAATACTCATGCAGGGTCCAGACTCTGTGTTGAAACTTTCTGGAGCTCCGCATCCACACCACAGCTGGTGTAAATGCTCTGATTGCACTCAATCATTTTTGATCCATGTGAAACTGGACTGAATCCATTCTGCATCTGGTGTGAACAAGGCTTCAGGCACTCTCTCAGTAGCAGCTGCAGCCCTGCTCTGGTTTTCCTTCATGTAGAGTGTCTTAACCCTGGTCCTCAGCTCCCCCTTTCCTACAGGTTTGAGGTGTTTCCCTGCTGCCACACTCCTGATCTACATGAATGAGTGACTAATAGGTTTGTGCAGCACTGCAGGACAGCGGGGGCTTGATAAAAGCTGCTTTATTATTAATTTGGGTAGGAATGGGCCATATGACCAAAAGTCTGCATCACAATATATTCTTAACTTCTATGTATGTATGTATGTATGTATGTATGTATGTATGTATGTATGTATGCATGTATGTATTAGGGATGAGCCGAATACTCGTTTCAGACGAGTATCCAGTACGGATAAAGCATTTTTGACGAATACGAGCATGAAACGAGTAAACCTCTTAAATATCTGTAATCGTGCTGAAGGAAAATCCTCATTGGGTAACTGACTATCTTCACGCTCTGTGATTGGCCAGTCACATAGAGCGCCCGCCCCTCCCTACACACAAAACTCTCTAGCCGGCCGGGAGCGCAGTCCGTCCGGCTCATCCACGCACACACACAGACAGTAACGGATCTCGCTGTGATTGCTTCACTGTTGCTCATGTTTCTTCAGTTTTCCCTAGGTTTTCTTCAGCTCGCCTCTTTTTCGGTTGAATATTTAAAATAACTTTTTTCGTAACTTACGTGGTGCATTTGCCAAGACAGCTGACGTGCTGCATCAGTCACTCACTACCTCCGCTCCGGTCGGGTTTTTTATTTTTTTAAACTCCATCTCTCTCCCTCTCACCCTCTCTATCTCTCTCAGACACACACACCTTAATCAACATTGTTTTGTTTAACTTTGTGTGGGGCAAAATGCCAAGAACGTTAAGAAAAAAATCAGTTTAATCAAATTAAAATAAAAAAATATACATAAAGTTGTGTCTGGTTCTAGCATTTCATATTTCCTAGTTCCTACTGCATGAGTTCAGGTTCCGGTTAAACCACGCCCATTTCCGGGTTATGCCACGCCCATTCCGAGTACAGATACAGATACAGGTAATTTAGTTGGTTGAACAGATACAGATAGTGGTGTACTCGCTCATCCCTAGTATGTTTGTATTTATTTATGTCAAAATGCTTTTTTACATTTTCATTATTTAGATGAATTACAGCAGAACAAATACTTCTAAGTGTAATATTAATATTAAAGAACATTTATTGTTAAAAGCTCCTTAGAAAATACAAAACCTTTCAAGTAGTTTTTATGTAGTGTTATGATTCTTTCTTCAAACAATTGTAATCCCCTGGGTTACACAGTTTACTTAAAACCCTTCAATTTAAACCAGGTTTGATATTACTTTGTATCAACATGAACAGTGAGGTGCATGTATAATGTTAACTGTAACGTTGCCACTAAAGTTATGCATTTTACATTGAGTATTTCTCAGCTGAGAACAGGCCTCTGATGAGAAATTTTTGTTTCCATTTATGTGTGTATTATTGTTTCGTTGATTGTTTAGTCTAAGGACGTTGGACTGAATTTTAAACTAATGAAAGCTGTGTAGGAGCAATAGCAAGCTATGAACACTAGGGGGAGCTTTAGGGAAAGTTCGAGAAGAGGCAGACGGCGGTAAGGTGTTGAGGAGGAGAGAGACTGCAGCATGTGGGTACGAGGATTCAGAGTAAAAAGAGACAGAAGGACGGACTCCCAAACTTTCGGCCCAAGGCAAACTTAATCGCTGTGATTAGGGACTTATCGGGAGCTGGTTGGAGAAGGAGACGCAATGAGAGGCAGAGGAGTGGTGTGGGGAAGTTCGCGGAGGATGTCTGGATTCCTGTTTTCGGACGGAGGACACAGACACCTTTCGAATCACTGAGGACATCGGGTTTCGTGTCTCGGGGTGAGGACACCTGCTCTGTGAATCTGTCAGGGCGTCTGAAGGAAAGGTTTTGCATGCCTCACAATCATTGCACAGTCCTGCAATGGAAAAATTACGGCACCAAACTTGGTGTGTGTGTGTGTGTGAGTGAGTGCGGGCCCACGTGTGGATTTATATTGAACTTGATATTATTTTTTGAGAAATGTATGGAGGTCGGTTAATGACAAATGTTAAATATGTTCACTGAAAAAACCAACTGATTTGGTTATTTGATTCGAAGACATTTACAATTCTGGTAATTTGATTGCTTTCAGGTGAAATGAACAGTTCATTTATTTTAAGTGAGTTCTTTATTAAAGATCATTTTCATTAGAAAGTTGTCTGGGCTTATTCTGGTTTAAGTGATAATGCTAATGTAATGGTTTGAGAGCAAAAGGAAAATATTACTTTACCTTAGGTGAACCTGCTAGATTTCTACCAGAAATCAACGAACCCAAGAAGACACCTCACCTGTTTTAGATTCTAGTGCACAGTTATACTAGACTGGGTAAGGGGGTGCTACACAATGTAACACAAAATCTTCATAAAATGAATAAAGATGAAGATGTTGGGATTGTAACGGCATGAAGGTTCTCTGATTTGTGCCAAAGGTCACATTTGCCCAGCTGGGTCAAGCTGGGTCAACCAGTACTTTGAATCCACAAATTAAAGCCCAAGGAGCCACGATGTCTGCCAAGATCATAACACCAGTATCTGCTGTTCCGTCAGAAGAAGGATACTTCAAGCCATGATGATAATAATTAAATAATAATTAGTAAACTTATGACTTTATTATTGTTTAAATAATCATTAATACATGATCACTTGGTTCAGATATAAAGGTATTTTAATTACATGAAATTGGTTATTATGCTTTCGGTATTATAATGATAATTATTATAATGATTAAAGATGTGTTCAGCAAAGAAGACCTTCACCCTGTTCAGCTAACAGAGTTCAGATAACAATAACTGCATCACATATTTTTTTGACGCATGACCAAGCTTTCTTCCGGAGAGAGAGGGAGGGGTTCTGAGGGAGTTTGGTAAAAACTAACCATTACAGATTTCACGTCCAGTTCTGGAACCAACACAACGAGGAAAGGAGAACGGCCATCTCCTTGACGCTCTGCAAGCTGTCTGTCACGCCGACAGAATGGCTAAAGAACAAACAAAACTAACGAGCTAACGCAAGACTCTCCCAGAGTCATTTGATTTCTGAAGTTAATTTAAATATGAAACTTGCATCTGCCAAACGCTTCGTACAGCCGTGTACCCTGTTACCACTCCGGACCAGAGTATCTAGGCATGAGCGAGTACACCACTATCTGTATCTGTTCAACCAACTAAATTATCTGTATCTGTACTCGGAGTGGGCGTGGCATAACCTGGAAGTATGTGTGGTTTAACCGGAAGTGGGTGTGGTTTACATCAATATATTATTTTAAGTCTGAAATTGATATGGAATGATCAGAAGTTGCTATGTGTATTGTTTATTTGAAAGCTATTTACAGAGCAGCCTCAGAATTGAGATTAAATATTTTTGATCACAATAGTAAAGAAACTATTACAGAACAAGTGTTTCAATAAAATCAGAACATTAATATTTAAGTGCATGGATTAATAAATCTGAACTCATGCAGTAGGAACTAGGAAATATGAAATGCTAGAACCAGACACAACTTTATATATATTTTTAAATTTTAATTTGATTAAACTGATTTTTTTCTTAACATTCTTGGCATTTAGCCCCACACAAAGTTAAACAAAACAATGTTGATTAAGGTGTGTGTGTGTGTGTGAGAGAGAGAGAGAGAGATAGAGAGGGAGAAAGATAGAGAGGGAGAGAGAGGGAGTTAAAAAATTCAAAACCCGACTGGAACGGAGGTAGTGACTAACCACGCAGCATGTCAGCTCTGTCTTGTCAAATGCACCAGGTAAGTTACGAAAAAAGTAACTTTAAATATTCAACCGAAAAAGAGGCGAGCTGAAGAAAGCCTAGGGAAAACTGAAGAAACGTGAGCAACAGTGAAGGAATCACAGCGAGATCTGTTACTGTCTGTGTGTGTGTGCGTGGATGAGCTGGACGGACTGCGCTCCCGGCCGGCTGCAATTTTGTGTGTAGGGAGGGGCGGGCGCTCTATGTGACTGGCCAATCACAGAGCATGAAGACAGTCAGTTACCCAATGAGGATTTTCCTTCAGCACGATTACAGATATTTACAAGCTTTACTCGTTTCATGCTCGTATTCGTCAAAAATTCTTTATCCGTACTGGATACTCGTCTGAAACGAGTATCCGGCTCATCCCT